TCATATAAAGGGAATAATACAATATGTGGCTATTAGTCTCTGAATTCTTTGATCTAACATAAAGTTTTCAAGGTTCATGTTGTTGGATCCCTCTTTTTTTAAATTTACTTCTGAGAGAGAGAGAGACAGAGATAGAGAGAGAGAGAGAGAGAGAGAGAGAGAGAGACAGCATGAGCAAGGGAGGGTCAGAGAGAGAGGGAGATACGGAATCTGAAACAGGCTCCAGGCTCTGAGCTAGCTGTCAGCACAGAGCCCGACATGGGGCTCGAACCCACAAACCGCGAGATCATGACCTGAGCTGAAGTCGGATGTCTAACCGACTGAGCCACCCAGGTGCCCCTTTTGGATCCCTTTTTAATACCTACTACCCTGACTTGGGGATGACTAAGTATAATGCTGTTTAATGAGAGACACTAAAGAATAAGCGAGTGAAATAAATGGGTGGATGTGTGTGTGACAAACATTCTGTGCAAAGTGCTTTTACCATGTGTCCTACGAGACCTCATACAGAAGGAACTCTACAGTAAGTATTAAAATCACTCACTTTTATGAAAGTTTGTGCTCATTTCAATTCCTCTCCATTAAATACATGCCCACACACAAGCATGGGTGTGCACAAACACACATGCATATGAAATAATTCACTTATTCAGTATCATCACATAGCAGTAAGAATGGAAATCTTCCACTCTTTTCCTCCTCTCATAAAGGTTAGCTTGATTGCCACACAAACACCTGTGTCTCTAATGTTTTGAACTATCCCTTTAGGATAGATAGGACATTTTTCTTAAATACCCATTTCACTAATACAGATACCATGGGATTCAGAAATTGAACGCTGTGCATGTATATATATCATATGTTTTTTCACTATGATCCTGAACACCTGGACCAGATTGCATTCAGCTCACGGTCTGTTGTTCAGAATGTAAGGTATTAAAAGAACACAAAAGTGGGACTAGAGGATTTATTATTAGTTTTTAGGTAGAAAGATAAACTAGAGATTTTGAATGCATATGAATTGTTTATGATATTCTTAGAAATAGAGATTTAAGTCCATTCATGTTTGGAGGCAGAAATGTTGTGGGAGGCTGGGAGGTTAGAAAAACTTTGTTTCCCCAATTCTCAGAGAGCAATTCAGTATAACTTTCCATCATGATTATGAATATCTAGGCCATTTTTGTAAACAAATAGGAATTTCTGGTTCTGTTGTAGTGGGAATCAGGTATGAATCATACTCATGGCAAGAAGAAATGGGGGAGATCTAGAGAATAGTTCTTAGTCATGGTCAGGACACTCTTGCTTCTTACCTGCTCTCCCCTTGTTCTCAGAAAGAGAATCTAATTTTTCTTATTAAACTTCTAGAGACACTTAGTTGAGACTGCATTTCACCCATTTTAGATAACAACACTTGCTTAGAGGGACCCACTATCATAACGAGAAAGCAAATTTATTGTGTATGGGTTTGGGAGTGATAATAGACAAAAGATGATATCAAAGTTGTACTTTATAAATAACATATATGTGTTTGTGTTACTCTTCCACTATACCTGCCCACATCCACAACATAATATTAGTTAATTTTTCTTGCTAGAAAAATTGGCTTGTGATGTATTGAAATAATTTTAAATCTGTTTTCGACATTTCCTTACTTATTTTGTGGTTAATACTATAGTACTTGTGTATAGTAGTATAGTATACACTACCTGTGTATAACTGTGGATCTCTGGCAGTTTTGCAAATGTATTAAACATGGGACATAAAATTATTGTGTAACAGGAAAGTCACTTTTAGTAATTAAAGATATATCTATTTAAAAAAAGCGAAAGATATAAGTAGGATATTTATTTCACATTTAGGAGAGATAGCCTCTAGAACACAGCAAAAGTAATCTCAAAAATATATTGCCTATTTTAAAATTACATATACCTATACTTCTCCTAAACTTATCTACTTCTGATGCATAAAGAGTTGACTATTTGATTGCATTAAGGAGAAATGAGTAGTGGTATTATTTTTTCAACAACTTAATGCAATTTATTGTATGCTAGCCAAACATTTATCAAAAATAAATTTCAATATCTATTTTATTTTAATGGTAAACATGCATATATATGGATAGACACATACACACTTGTATATATGAATTTTATAGTTTTTAAAATATCCTTTAATATCTGTGAAAATAATCATAAAAATATTATTTTATTCAAACATAAAGTACATATTTACAAGGTTGATAGAATGAAACTTGATAGCAGTTTGTTATTCATGGAAATACAACACTTATATTGTAAACTCACACTGTTCCTTTTCCCAAAATGCAAATTATAAGGCTTTGGTTAGTCTGCTTGAAGGCCGAACCAATGACACTAGCCTCAGAAGCTGAACTAGTACATTATTTTTTCTGCTTCCTTGGGATTGCCTTTGTTTTCTCTGTTTCATTATTTTTTAAACTTACAGTTTCTGGTGATTTATGAGGTAAACATTATAGGTTTTTCCCCCTCTGGTGGCTCCTTTGTGCTTTTCAAGTAATAATATTTAATCAAATATTAAATATTAATATTAAATATTAAATGCTGTAGCGTTTAATTTGATAATGCTTAAAGTCAAGTATAGACTATGACTTGTTAATTCATTAATCTGTTCATTAATTAAAAATATTTGTTGACATCTAATATGTACTGTCTTGCTATAAACTGGAGGTATAAATTGCAATCTGTCTGAATGTGAAGGTTTTATTAAATTGTGGATGATTCAAGAATAGAATAAGATTTTTATAATACCATGATATTAAAATTGTGAAAGACATTGATTCCATCAACAAATCCATTCATTAACTGTAAGCCTGGTACTTTGCTAATTACATTATATTAAGAGGCTTTAGAGGTTGGATTTCTAAACTGTCCAAGAGAGAGTTGAGTCTTCCTGAAGTATATTATACTAGAGGCTATTATTGAGGAACATAAAAAGGGGAGAAGTTGCAAAATCACGAAGGTTGTAAAAATACCAGTATGACTTGAGTAGGAAATTGCAAGAAGCAAGAGAGAACACTGCTTTACCAATTTGGCCTGTCATAAACCTAACCATGCTTCATGTTAAAAACATTTGTCCATTCCTCTTAGAAGTTCTTCTGATATACCTCAAAGTTAACTTCATTCTCATTTCTTCTTTTATTAATGTTTATTTATTTATTTTGAGACAGAGAAGGACAGAGAGAGATGGAGAGAGAAAATCCCAAGTGGGCTCTGTGCTGTCAGATGGGGGACTTGATCTCATGAATTGTGAGATCATGACCTGAATCCAAATCAAGAGGCCCACGCTCAGTCAATTGAGCCACCCATACACCTTTTATAACCTCTTTCTTAAGTGTGAATTAATATTCAAAATTTACCAGATATGTGAGAAACTCCCCCAAAGTAAAAGAAAAAAAGCTATATAAAAATAAATAATGGAAACTTAAATGATGTAGAAATTGAATGTGAAGTGTATACATTCACATATATATTTATTACCATCAGATACACATGATTCAGAAGAAAATGATATTGGAAATTTGTAATATTAGAAAACAACAAAAGATGCCAAGATATTTGGGATATAGAGTTCAGTAATTTTTCTAGAAAATGAATTAAAATAATAGATCCAATATAAACATTAAAAACAATTTTAATGTTTATTTTTGAAGGAGAGACAGAGCATGAGCAGGGAAGGGACAGAAAAGGAGACACAGAATCTGAAGCAGGCTCCAAGCTCTGAGCTGTCAACACATAGCTGATGCAGGGCTTGAACCCATGAGCCATGAGAGGATGATCTGATCCAAAGTTGGATGCTTAACCTACTGAGCCACCTAGGTGCCCCAATATAAACATTTTAAAAGAAGAAAAAGTTAAAAAGAAGGGGATAAGCCCAGAAGATCCTGTATCTCACTAAAAAAAAAAACAGTAGTAAAATAACAAGGATATGGTTGTGAAGATAGTATCAAAAATTAATACAAGAAAATTTCTTAAACCAAAAGTCACAAATGCCCTATAAGTGCTGTGCAATAAAAGACATAATGCACACAGACACCATGTCATCATAACCACTACCACTGAATTTGAAAGCATAGAAGCTTAAAAATGTTCTTAAATATTTCAGCAAAAAACAAATAAATGAAGAAAAGCAAAGGAAGAATAGTTCATGTGAAAGGTAACAGTGGTCCTTTTAATATCTTTATCTTATGCTAGGAGATTGAGAATTCCTTTGAAATTCAGACCTGAGAAACCTCATCCACATAGAACCTCCATTTACTCAATAATAAAGTGCAGATTAACAAAAATGATTTCTGGGCTTGTAGTGAGGAAAAAATGAGTTAACATATTTTAATCTTCTTAGAACTTTACCTGGTACATTGGAGGCATAAATATAAACTGTTATTAAAAATAAGAACAATAAAATATTTAAAAAAATAAGAACAATAACAATGCATCTTAATCATATCTGTTGTGTTACTGGCAAGGTAATCAGTGAGCTCTACTTAAAGAAAACACCCAACAGACAGGGTATAGTAATTAACATTCAAATGAGATATTACATCAGATATCAATCAGAAAGATAATAATAACATAGATCATTAGTGTAACACAATTCCACTTGATTATAAGTTTAGATTGTATCTATATCCTTTTGTTTTAAAGTAATGTAGATGCAATATCTGTGATAAAACCTAATGCATGGTGGGTGTTAAGTATATATTTTTAATGAACTGATAAGTTAATGAATTAACAAACAATGGCTTAACTGAGTTTAGACAATGCTTAAATATGCAGTTCCTGACATTCCAAATGTTTGTTTTCTTGTTACTAAAATACAATATTTAACAGAGAGAAAGAGAGAGAGAGAGCACGACTGAGATTTTTTTTTCCTATTTTTCCAAATCTTGGAGGGTCAAAAAACAAAACAAAACAAAAATAAAATTAAAAACCTACAAGCCTCTTAATGATTATACCAGCCTAATTATGATAAATCTGAACCAAACAGATGTGACCCCAGCCTCATTCATTCTTAATGGGATCCCAGGACTGGAGGACATGCACCTGTGGATTTCCTTCCCATTCTGCTCCATGTATGTTGTGGCAATGGTAGGGAACTGTGGGCTCCTCTACCTCATCTGCTATGAAGACTCCCTGCATAGATCCATGTATTATTTTTTGGCAATGCTTTCCCTTACTGACCTTGTCATGTGTTCTAGTACAATCCCTAAAGCTCTCTGCATCTTCTGGTTTCATCTCAAGGAAATTAAATTTGAAGAATGCCTAGTCCAGATGTTCTTCATCCATACCTTCACAGGGATGGAATCTGGGGTGCTCATGCTTATGGCCCTGGACCGTTATGTCGCCATCTGTTACCCTCTGCGCTACTCAGCTATCCTCACCAATCCTGTCATTGCAAAGGTTGGGCTTGCTACTTTCCTGAGAGCAGTATTCCTCATCATTCCCTTGATTTTCCTCACCAAGAGACTACCCTATTGCAAGGGTAATATAATACACCATACTTATTGTGACCAGTTATCGGTAGCCAAGTTATCCTGTGGAAATATCAAGGCCAATGTTATCTATGGTCTGATGGCTGCCTTCCTGATTGGAGGTTTTGACATCCTGTGCATCACAATCTCCTACACCATGATCCTCCGGGCAGTGGTCAGCCTTTCCTCGGCAGATGCTCGGCAGAAGGCCTTTAGCACCTGCACTGCCCACATCTGTGCCATTGTCTTCTCCTACAGTCCAGCCTTCTTTTGCTTCTTTTTTAATCGTTTTGGGAGCCACACAATACCTCCATCTTGCCACATCATTGTGGCCAATATTTATCTGCTCTTGCCTCCCACCATGAACCCTATTGTCTATGGGGTGAAAACCAAGCAGATACGAGACTGTGTCATAAGGATCTTTTCAGGTGCAAAGAACATCAAATCCTACAGCACATAGAGGGGATATTTTTCACAGAAGAGGTGAAAGGGAAAAGAATACTCTGTTGGCTGCTTAGTCAGGGTCTGAAGATGTCTTTTTATGATTACTATTTTGTTCTTGACCACGGTAGGACCCAAGAGGGGCAGTAAATGTTTTCAGAATTCCAAAGTCACTGATGTGGCCCTGCACATTATGAATCTTTCACTTATTCACCCCAGTGGAGAAGTAGTCTCATCATTAACCCAAGTTCCCATGAGCAAAACACAATGGGAAGGTGAGTAAATTATCAAAAGAAATGAATAAATCATAGAGATATTCTGCTGCCAGGTGCCAGTCTATTTTATTTTCAAATAGTGATTGGAATTTCTAGTTTGAAGACATTTGTTACTTTCCTCTGGAAAATATGTGATATATTTTTCTTATCATTACACAATTTTTCTATTTTCTCAGTATATTCTCCTGATGGAGAAACTAGTAAATGCACTATGATGTCATTAGCCTAATGAGATTTCAACTTCTGGACTGTAATTTAAAAAAAGTTAGTCATCTGATTATGTCTTCTGTAGAAAACTCCTAAATGGCCAATGTCTAGGAATTACATAAAAGAAAAACCTTGGGATCTGGAAAGAAGTAAACAAATAGTAAAGGGGGAGGAGGATAAATACAGTAATATTTTATTCTTGTCTTCAATATCTAAATTATATTTGACTATTGAAGGGAAATTATAACCTTGTTGATATGATTCTAAAGTAATGTTAAAGAAATGTTTAAGGTAATTACAACTGATATTGGGCAAAGGGATTTAAAGGGAGGTAAAGGTTTTATACGTCATTTGAAATGGTAAAATGAGGACATCAGGAGACTGAGATACTATTTATATAAATATAAAATGTGGAATAACCACTAAAGAATATACTCAAAGAGATACATTGCAAAAACATTATAAATAAATAAAAATGGACTTCTAAAAATACTTTCATCAGAACCTACAGAATGTCAGAAATGTTAGATCCTTCTGATTATTTGACCTTGTTATCATCATCTAACATCCTTCTTTGTCTCTTGTGACAGTTTTATCTAAAGTTTATTTTGTTAGATGCAAATATATACTTGACTGCTCTCTTCTGGTTACCATTTGCAAAAATATCTTTCCCCATCCTTTTCCCTTCAACCTTTTTATATCTTTATATCTAAAGTCTTTTGTATTCAGCATATAGTATAATCTTGCATTTTAAATCTATTCAGTCATTCCATGTCTTTTCATTGTTTATTTAATTCATTTACATTTAAAGTATTAACGTTAGGGAAGGACTTAGTATTTTTATTTTGTTCATTATTTTCTGTTTGTCTTTTAATTAATTCTTTTCTCTCTTATTTCTTTACTTCATGTTTCATTAATTTCTTTGTTGCGGCATGTTTTGATTTCTTTCTTATTTCTTTTGTGCACCTTATATAGCTATTTTCTTTGAGGCTCCTGTGAAGATTGCATGAAATTATATGTTATTTATAGTAATCTATTTAAATGTGACTCTTTCAAATCTTTCTTACTCCCAATTTCTGTTATCAATGTCACACATTACATTATTTTATATTTTGTACCATTAGCACAGTCTCATAGTTATTTTTTGTGCTTTCATCTTTTATATTCTACAATATTTATAGGATTCTGTATTTATCTATGTTTTACCCAAGAGCTTTATATAGTCATATAATTTCATGTCTAGTGTCCTTTTGTTTTAACTTTGGGTCCCTGTAGCAATTCTTATAAGATAGATCTAGTATTCATGAATTCTTCAGCTTTTGTTTATCTGTGAAGTTCTTTATTACTCTTTCATTTTTGAGAGAGAGCTTTGCCAGGTAGTATTCTTGGATGGAAGTTGGGTTTTTTTTGCCCCCTTTCAGCACTTTAATATGTCATCTGACTCCTTTATGGTCTATAACGTTTCTGCTGAAAATCAACTGATAATTTTATGGAAGCTCACTTGTACATAATGAATTCTCTTGCCGCTTTTAAGATTTTCTCTTTGTCTTGATTTCTGGCAATTTGTTTATAATGTGTCTTTGTCTTTGGACATTTTTGGGTTTATCCTAGTTGGAGTCCTTTAAGCTTTTTGAAGTTAGATGTCTATTTTCTTCCTCAGATTTGGGAATTTTGGCCATTATTTCTTCAAACAAACTCACTGCCCCTTTTTATCCCTGTTCTCCTGCTAGGACTCCCTGATTTTCTTACATATTTTCCATAAATATCTTAGATTGTCCTTACTTTCCCCCCTATTTCTTTTTCTTTTTTGTTTTTCTGTCTCAGTAATAGTAAATTACCTGTCTTCAGGTTCACTGTTTCTTTTCTCTGGTTGATCAAAACTGATGTTTATGCTCTGTAGTAGAGTTTTTAATTGTATTGGGCTCCTGGGTGGTTCAGTCAGTTAAGCATCGGACTTTGGCTCAGGTCATGATCTCGTGGTTTGTGAATTCGAGCTCCGCATTGGGCTTTGTGCTGACAGCTCAGAGCATGGAGCCTGCTTCAGATTCTGTCTCTCTTTCTCTCTGCCCCTCCCATACTCATGCTCTGTCTCTGTCAATAATAAATAAACATTAAAAAAATAAATTGTATTCTTCAACTCCACAATATATTGTGGTTCTTTTTTTATAGTTTGTTGTTGTTGTTGTTGATATTGTCATTCTGTTCACATTTTTCCTGATTTTGTTCGGTTGTGTTTGTCTTCTTTTGTAGTGCATTGAGTTTATTTACAATGGTTAATTTGAATACTTTATCACATAATTCATAGATTTCAATTTCTTTAGGGTCAGATTTTGAAGATGTATTTTGTTCTTGTCCTTTGTTGTTGTTGTGATGTGTGCATTTGAAAAAACAACGACTTTTCCTAGTCTTCATGAACTTTTTTTATATAGTGAAAGATCTTCACCGATTACCTGACGAGAAATTCTGATGGCTTTTTCTTGGACTTGGATGTGTAATTTCTCAATTATAGAGTTTGGCTGGTTTCTTTTTAAGAGCTTGTGATTTCTTCCTCTCTCTGGTATCAGTCTACTAGTAGGACATACTCAGGCACTAAAATAAATCACCAAATTCTCTTTTATTTTCAGTAGCCCCATAGACATCCAAAGTATCCTGAGTCTTCCAGTGTTCCATGTCAGGAAAGAAAAGAAAAGTCTCTTAGGCAGGCCCCTGAAAACCAGACCATTGGGCATATATTGTATTCTATTTTTCCCTCCCAAGGTGGAAGCCATGAGCTAGCCACTTTCTATAATTGTGTTGAGTAGTACTAGTTCCTGTCTACAGTGTTAAAATTTCTCTTGAACTGCAACAAGAAACTGAATTCTGTATTGGTTTTAGTTGCTCCCAGAAATCCAAAGTATGCTGGCTCTGTCAGGTCTCTGAATCAGGTGAGACAGAAACATTTCTCTAGTGATCCCCCAAGAAGTTGGATCATTGGATGCATACTTTTCTCCCAGAGAAAAAGCTGCCAGTGAGCTTCCCCCCTACCCTAGTTGCAGAGAGTGATGCCAGCTTGGGGGACAGAATGACATAACTGAAATTAAACAGCAGAAATAAGAGAGAAAGAGAAGAGCAAAGTATGCAGTGTTCCAACTTTTCAGGGGACCACTAGAGAAACTGGTTTCTGCCTCACCTGATGCAGAGACCTGACAAAAATACTTATTTGAAGGGACATATGCAACTCAATATTTATAGCAGCACTATCAACAAAAGACAAATTCTGGAAAGAACCCAAATGTCCATCAACTGATGAATGGATAAAAAAGATGTGGTACATATATATAGAATGGACTATTAGTCATCAGAAAAGAATGAAATCTTTTTTTTTTTACAAATAGTTTATTGTCAAATTAGTTTCCACATAACACCCAGTGATCATCCCCACAAGTGTCCTCCTCCATGCCCATCCCCCCTCCCCCCCACATCCATCAGTCCTCAGTTTTTGTCAGCATTCAAGAGTCTCTCATGGTTTGCCTCTCTCCCTTTCCCCCACCATTTCCCCCCTTCTTCTACCCCTTGTTCCTCAGTTAAGTTCCTCCTAATCCTCCTATACGTGCAAACATATGATATTTGTCCTTCTCTGCCTGACTTATTTCGCTCAGCATAACACCCTCAAGGTCCATCCATGTTGCTACACATGGCCAGATTTCAAGAAAAGAATGAAATCTTGCCATTTGCAATGATGCGGGGAAAAAATACTTATAAACCACGTATCTGAAAATAGGATGTGTGTGTGTGTATTCAACACTTTAAAAATCCCAACCATTTAGAAGAAAATAGCCAGAAAACATGTTTCATTGAAAAGGGTAAACAGTGAAAAATAGATACATGGGGTGCCTGGGTGGCCAGTCAGATGAGCTTCAGACTCTTAATTTTGGCTCAGGTCATTATCTCCCAGTTCATGGGTTCGGCCCCCCCATCAGGCTCTGCACTGACAGTGTGGTGCCTGCTTGGGATTCGCTCTCTTCCTCTCTCTCTGTCCCTGTCCTGCTCACTAATTCTCTCTCAAAATGAATGAATAAACATTAAGCAAAAGGTAAATAGATAAAAAGAAGAATATGTAATATTTTAAATCATTAATTATATGAAAATTAAAATCATAATGGGATATCACTGCACAATTGTGACCATGGCTAAAATAAAAAGTAGTCACAATATCAAATGCTAGTAAGAATATAGAGAAACTGGATGATTCATGCACTGCTATACATTCCTGGTGGAATTACAATTGGTACAGCCACTCCGGAAAATCATTTGGCAGTTTCTTAAAAAGATAATACACAAAACCATAAAACTTATCAACGGCATTTATCCCAGAAAAATGAATACTAATTTTCTCACAAAAACTAGTAAACATGGACAAGAGAGTCAAAATGACAAGGTTGAAACTCCAAAAGTGTCTGTCCTTAACAAAAGCCATGAGCAATTCTCAGAACTCTTGTTTCTAATCAGAAATTTCCAGAAATTAGAGGAATAGCTGGAATTAGATATTAGAAAAAAC